TCACCTAGCAGTAAAGTAGGCACCTGTTGTAAGTCGAAAGTTGCGAATTCGTATTCAGGGACAAGTTGTTGGAGCTTCCAATAACTTGATGACACAAGCCATTGACTCTTCAGGCTTCTATGCCCTTGACTCTTCAGGCTTCTACGCCCTTAACTCATGAGACATAAAAAGGCAAGCATGAACTTAGCATGCTTCCCTGTTGGGCACTGTAAACGCTTCTGCGCTTCACCTTACACAAGGATGTAGGGGAGTGCCCAATAAAAAAAATGTGGCATTTAAAAACTCAAGCACTGTTAAACAAATGTTAATCAAGAACTCCCCCCAAAACACAAAATTGGTTGCATTTATAAAGTTCCTTGCAAGGATTGTAATATGTTTTACTTAGGCCAGACAGGTAAAGATCTTGTAACTAGACTTAAACAACATAAATATAGTGTTAGGACAGGCCAGGAATCCAACGCTCTGCTTGTTCATTTGAGGGATAACAAGCATTGCATTGACTGGGATAATGCTTCCTCAATATTACCTTGTAATTCATTTCACAGTAGGAACATCATAGAATCTAGTCTTATTAAACATACCGAAGCATTCAACATGAATTTGAGTAATGGCATGTACAAACTGGACAATTTTGTAATTAAGAAGATTTGTAACCAGGTGAGAAGGTTGGGTCACCTTACCCTCTGACCTGACTACCGACCTTTGCGGTGCTATTTAAAGATTAGTAAGGTCATTACCTAATACCTGACCATTGTGGACCTGATCTCACCCTCCTCTGTATATATACACCTTGTTTTGTACTTCTCCTTAGTCTGTACTCACCCCTGAAGATGTGAATTACACGAAAGCGCTTGGGAACTTCGTGTTTTCTTCTTTCCTTGTGGTTATCAGCATATATATATATATATATATATATATATATATATATATATATATATATATATATATATATATATATATATATATATATATATATATATATATATATATATATATATATATATTAATATATAAGAACATAAGAAAATAAGGAGTCTGCAATAGGCCGGTTGGCCTGTGCATGGCAGCTTCTGTCGAGAGTTACTACCATATACTGCCAGATCTGGGGTCACTAAATCTAAGGGGATAACTTAACTCTAATCTTAATGTCTAAGGGTCGCTGCCACCAGACCCCCTCTGGACAGCATGTAGCTCGTTAGGTAGCGTGCAGAGTGGACTAGGCATTGGGTTAGGTTTTCCATTGATCAGATCGATAAGGGTAAAGAAGGGTGAAACCATAACATGTCTTCCTTGATTTATTTCTTATAAAACACACTGGAAAAAAAAACATACATGAATTGGCCTTCCTCAGAAGAACAACGGAATTTTGGTTACCCAACTGGGCCCCAGACTCCTACATTACTGGCGGGTCATCCACCCACTTATTGCACAACAATCGGTGAACGCCGTATCTCGGTCGTTCCTTCTTACAATATCCCTTAACACATCAGACTGTGCCACTGGTGTGGCTTGTAGCACCGTCGGTTATCATACATAGTAGCACCATCGCAACACACCTGTTACACTCCATACCTGCAAGTATGTGACTCCTTGTGACTTTTAGGTATACACAACGGGCCCCTCGTTCGCACACCGCCCTCGGTGGGTAAGGACGAGGGCTTCACCTAGAGACATACCAGCACTATTTCTACGCCTGGTATTATAGGTCGCTCCAAGTGACGACCGCAGTTTCTCACGGCCTCCTTAGTTGTGACTATTCATGTGGAGTGGTGCGCTGGGAATCCACCGGTTCATAGTGGACTGGTATAGTGGGGAGTAATTCCCCACCTGGTGTGGCGCTCCAGGAGACAATGGCGGCCGGGCGGCAAGATACCCCAACCACGTGGCACCTGTGTTGACGGCAGAACGGGAAAGACTAAGCAATAATGCCTGACGGGCGGTTATCCCATCCCTTAACACATCCCTATCACACTTATATATCCGGCAAAGCTTTAAACTGTAGTAACTGTTATTTATCAACCTTAATTGTAGGGCGGGATATAGCCCGCTAGGACACTGACCTGTGTTGACGGCAGAACGGGAAAGACTAAGGCCGGCTTCCCGCCGCTTCTCGTCACATAGGCCTACAGTTTCCAATCCTCAATTTACATTTTTGTTTCTTATGGTTCTCCCCTGAACACTTTACGGTATATTGTCACTCATTTCTTATAAACACATATATTAATCCTAACTTATACACTAAGGTCAGGTCTTGGTTTGCTAGTGCTTGGTTAAATGCCTGGGATTTTAATATCAACGGGCATCTGAGGCGGGTACATGACGCGCCTTGAAACAAAAGCCGAATGATCATGGCGGGGGTGTATCAACTTCACTTAAAAACTGTAATGAGGGATCCTCCTCTCACACCGTGCACTATTTGAACACAGACCTCAGATTCTCTGATCACTGTACCTGTCGTGGGTATATGTCTGTGAGGCTACGAGGTGTATTAAATTCATACCGACGCATACACGATATTTCCTTTCCAGTATAGTTTCTAGATCATTGTCAACACCTCACATAGTTCTGATACATTTATCCCTTTTTCCAGATCATTGTTCTCATGTATTTTCATATGATATCTGTTGGAGTTAGGTTCGCTACACGCTCACAGACGTAAATAGTAGGACCTTCAAACCCTGCTCCACACTTAGTCTTACAGTACCCTAGTCCGGCTCAACTGGACTTTAACATTCATCTTATGCCTACCCTGAGTGATCCTTAATGCTATGAATACATACACTTGATATGATATAATTATACCTGGGTACAATACCACACATGGTCTAGCAACCTTGAGTAGGTGAGTTGTCTTTTCTCAATGTTTCCCGTTTTCTGGGGTTCTACAAGCGCTGTGCATTTGAATGTTATGTAGCGTAATATGAATTAGATGGGATTTTTAGGGATGACAATGATGTGCGCAGTACAACCACTCTTTATCATCCATGAATCTATCTAGCCTCCTTTTGATACTTTCCAGAGTTCCCGCACTTACTACAAAGTTGCTAAGCTTGTTCCACTCGTCCACCACCCTATTTGTGAACCAATTTCTTCCTATCTCCCTCCTAAACCTAAACTTATCAACTTCAATCCGTTGCTCCGAGTCCTATCCTGCTCGGATATTATAAGAACTTTATCTATATCCCCTTTATTGATTCCTTTCACCCACTTAAATACTTCTATCATATCTCCCCGCACTCTTCGTCTTTCTAGGGAATGCAAGTTAAGTTTCTTTAGCCTATCCTGATACGGAAGGCTTCTAAGTCCCGGAATCATTTTTGTCATTCTTCGCTGCACCGACTCTAGTGAATTTATATCCATTCTATAATAGGGGCACCAGAACTGAACCGCATAATCGAGGTGTGGCCTGACTAGCGCAAGATATAGTTGCAATAAGACCTCTGCACTCTTGTTACTTACACTTCTAAATATAAAACCCAATACTCTGTTTGCCTTATTTCGAACATTAACGCACTGTTTTCTAGGCCGTAGGTGCGGGCTTACAAGTACCCCTAGGTCTCTTTCACAAGTCAACTTCTCTAGGTTGATGTTGTTAAGGCTGTATACATTATAAGTATTTGTTCTTCCAATATTAAGTACGCTGCACTTTCTGGTGTTGAATTTCATTTGCCATTTTTCAGACCACCCCTGCAGTTTATTTAGATCCTCCTGTAATGCATTTGCATCCTGCCCTGAATTAATTTGCCGCCCTATTTTGGTGTCATCCGCAAACTTGCTTATGTCACTGCTGATCCCAGTATCTAGATCGTTTATGTAGATTATGAACAAGAGTGGGCCTAGTACTGACCCCTGGGGAACCCCACTGGTTACACAGCCCCACTCAGATTTAACACCATCTACGCTGACCCTCTGCGTTCTATCGGTGAGCCATGATTTTATCCAATTTAAAACTTTCCCTCGATACCATGAGCCTTAATTTTTCTCAGAAGCCTCTGATGCGGTACTCTGTCAAATGCTTTGCTAAAGTCTAAGTAAATAACATCGTAATTTTCGTCATTATCTACTACCTCAAAGACTTTCCTAAAAAACGTTAGCAGATTTGTTAGACAAGATTTTCCCCTTGTAAACCCATGTTGCGAGTCTTAGATTAATTTGCTTTTCTCTAGATGAGATCGGATGCTATCTGCTATAATTGATTCAAGAAATTTCCCCACTACTGACGTCAAACTGATCAGCCGGTAATTTGACGCTGATGCTCTGTCTCCCTTTTTGAATATGGGTACTACATTTGCCTGTTTCTACAAGTCTGTCACATCACCAGTGTCAAATGATTTTGTAAATAAGTTTACGAGGGGTCCGCTAATCTGTTCCCTACACTCTTTCAAGACTCGAGGGAAAATTTCATCCGGCCCTGGGGATTTTGTTTTCTTTAGTTTATTTATCTTCTTAAGAACATCCTCTTTTCTGATAGTGATATTCTTTAATTTCTCTTCTTCCTTTCCCTTAAATATCAGTTCCACCTCTGGAATCTCATCGCAAATTTCTTCTGTGAAAACTGATAAGAAGTAGTTGTTCAATGCTTTGCTTATTTCTCCACTGCCAATTATCACTTCTCCCTCCCTGACTTTAAAGGCCCAACTTTGTCCTTGACCTTTGTCCTATATACCTGGAAAAATCCCTTGGGATTCGCCTTGGATTCTCTTGCTATTTTGATTTCATAGTCTCTCTTTGCTTTCCTTACATTTTCCTTAACATTCCTAGATAGTTCATTATACCTATTTCTGAGCTGCTATATACATATATATATATATATATATATATATATATATATATATATATATATATATATATATATATATATATATATATATATATATATATATATATATATATATATATATATATATATATATATATATATATATATATATATAATTTAGATGAGTTATAAGCTAGTAAAAGGGATGAACTTATGGAGGAGGAAGACATGTTGGAATATATGTACCACAACAACAACAACATGGAGGCGGCTCAGCTGGTACAGGGAGAGTCCTCAGTCTCCCTCGACACTGCTGTCTTTGTTTTCTCACTCTTTGATACTGGGGCTTTATTGTTTTTACTAGTGTATTATGTATCCTTTATTATAAACTTATGTCATAAGAGTTTGTTAATCCCAGACATTTCTTGTACAGGTTTCAGATCATCTGGCGTCTTACTTTAACAAGTCTTCTGCATTTATTTCATCTCATGTGCTGTGTCACCTCTACCTCCTTACATACCCACGTTTCATAAAATAGGAAGATTAAGGCTGAGTATTGAATAGTGCTACATTGTTCTTAGGAATCTGGACTCCAATTATAGACATGGAGAGACTTGATAATTAAGAGCGGCGGCATGAATCTCCCAAATGTAGTTTGAATTTATTTTACGTTTACATTTTTTGTCTGTCTATGAATTATAATAAAAGAAAATAAGGTAAATGATTTCGAAACTGTTATCATTAGAAGCTGTTTGTTGATTTTCTTTATTTTTGCTACTTCTTGTTTTGATGATTTTAAATATATTAAAAGAAATGACAACTTTCTATTATAATTTTAAGTATTTTTATTTATTTATTTTATTCTTTCCTGCTTCACAACTCTCCTCCCGGCGCCATTTTTGTTGTTTGCCTCGCAGAATCCCACTTCAAGAGTCATTTCCAATTAATGATGGTGAACACTTCCACGAATTCCTCCTGATGTATATCAACCTCAAGGTAAAGGTATAGACAATGGCTACCACCATAAGGAGTTTGTTGGATTGGTTGAAAATTTTTTTGGTAAATTTTCATTAGTTCACACATCTCTGTTAGAAAATCAAAACTATGTTTTTCTAGTGATTTTTGTGTTTAGGTTGGTTTTGACCTTGATTTCCGTCGGAAATTGCCTGTCTTTTAGTTATCGGGAGTTTTAGGTGGGTTGTTTTCTGACAAAAATTATGGCCAAGCGAATTCAAAATACAAAAAAAAAAACACTAGAAAAACAGGCATATTAACCTGACCTAACCTAACCTAACCTAACCTAACCTAAAATAAAATAAAATAACCTAACCTAACCTAACTCACCATATGAGGGAATCACTTATTTCTTACCTTATTGACCTGGTTTGGGTTCGTCTTTGGATTCTGAGATTAGTACAGGTTGCTGTCGCTGATTTTCGCTTAGCGGGGGCCCCTGTATCGGGAACGAGTTACCACAATGCCACATGTGTTGGTCTTGATAATATTTACAGTCGTTCTTACACTTGGGACACTTTACTGAGGTCGGGAGAACAACATGAGATCTAAAAAATGATATAGCTTGTTGGTTTTTTCCCCAAAATGCACAATCAACTCCATTAATTGAAATGATACCCATCGCAGACTTCCATGGTCGGCAATGAATTTGAATTTCAAAATTTGAGACCCAAAATAAAATTCTAATCTGATTGGGCCAAAACTAGTGTGAATTAAACCACAAATCATTTTAATTGCTGGCAAAAAAAAAAGCTTTTGATTGGCCGCGTGACGTGTACGGGAACGCATTCGCGTGATGATTTATGAAGGGAACAGGCAGAGTGGGAGGTCGTGTAGGCAATAATGGCAGAAGATTAGTGGAAGAAAATTGAGAAAGATTTGGGATGCACTATCTTCGTCATTATACGTTTGCGACGGTATTGTAATAGAAGAAAATTGTCTTATAATTAGACGTCTTTTTCGAATGTGATAATAGATTTGGGGGAGGAAAATTGTGTGCACCAATGCAAAAATACCATTTTTTCTTCACTAATATCATGATATTAAACAAATATGGAAATGACAATCCATAGAACCCGACCTAACATAGCCATAGGTTGGGTATGTTAGGTCAGGTTCTATTAGGTTCTATGCATTATTAAACAGAATACACGCTAATATCATGATATTAAACACAAAAATGCAGAGAACCTACTAGAACCTGACCTAACATACCCCATAGAACCTAACCTTATATACCCAGGGTTTGTTGGGTGAGGTTCTATGCAACATTTTGAAATGCATTATTTTAATATATTGCTAATAACATGATATTAAACGCAGAAATGGAAATCTTAAACAACTTACCTTAATATTTGAAACGACACCGATTAATTGTACGGCATCTGTGGACTTAATCGTAAGATCGCGTATTTCATTGAAAGTTGTTGTTTTTCATAATATGTGAGTCTCTTCTGCATTTGGAACATTTGCAAGTGTTCTTAACCCATGGTCACAAATGAAAGATATCAAGCGAGATTCATCAAGAACTACTGGACTGTAGGTTTGATAAATCACGATAGGAAAATCACAACCTACGCAACTCGCCGTTATGTTCAAAAGATGAGTGTCAAAATATGGCACACTTACATTATTTCTTGGTTCTATATAGATATGAAAAGAAGGCTGAATGCATTAAATACTAAACAAAAGACCAATAGACGGTTATTAACGTAATGTAAATTAAATAAAGATGCGTATTTCTTTTATTTAAAGGATCACGATTAATGGTACAGAATTTAAACAGGTCATCAACAACGAACAATGGCAGAAACAAAGAAAATGTGCTGCTGGAATCTTGAAAGGTAAGAAAATGATTTGTGGCATCACAAATGCACCTAGAGACTTAATTTTAATGCCATAACATCAGTGTTCGTCGTGTTTTTATCCCATAATTTCCCTCATCATTCATGCTTTGCCCACTAACAAGGAATTTATGATCGTAGGATAGAGTAAATGAAAAAATACTTAAAATTATAATAGAAAGTTGTCATTTCTTTTAGTATAGTACGTACTTAAAATCATCAAAACAATAAGTACAGTACAGTGGGGTATGCTATAACGAATCTAATTGGTTCAAGAACCTCGTTCGTTATAGGATTAATCCGTTCCAGGCCCCCAAATACAACCACTTAACACTGAAAAAATTCTGTGGAAAATGTAAAAAATACGGTACTTTATCTTACCTTAGTGTTGTTCAGCATGCAGGACAGGAGGCAGAGGGGGAGGGGGGAGGAGAGAATTATGGAGAAGAGGTGGAAGGAGAGGAGTCAAACTTCCTAGCCCTCTTTGGTGACTTCTAACAAACACTTTGTCTGTAGGTTCTTTTGTTACCTTTGTAAAGAAGGAATCCAGGGTTGGCTGCTTCAACCTTGATTTCTGGACCTTCCAAATGTAGTTCATAACATTGTCATTAAACACACTGATGGCCTTTTGCACAGAACCAACATCAGGATGATAATCCTCAGCAAGTTTGGACAGTTTGCTCCAGAAAAAGAACGCATCCTTGAGATCTTTGGCTGGAATGATGCGGCTTTCCTCCTTGTCCTCATCCTCCCCTGACTCCTCAGAAGTTAAGCTCTGCTTCAGTGTCTCATTTTCTTCTTTGTGAAGCTCAAGCAGCTCCTCAGTGGACAGTTCCTTACTGTGCTCTTCCACCAACTCCTCAACATCATCATCATCCACTTCCAGGCCTATGGAATTGCCCAGAGACACAATTTCATGAACAACAGCCTCTTCTTCTAACTCTTCGAAGCCTTCAAAGTCTCTTTGAAGCACACATTCAGGCCACAATGGCCTCCAAGCAGCACAAAGACACCTCATAGTAACCTCTTTCCAGGCTGAGGTAATTAAAAACACAGCGTCTGCTATATTGAAGTGACTCTTCCAAAATTCCTTCAAGCTAACATCACTGGAAGAAGTGGACGCAAAACATTTTCTAAACAGTGCCTTTGTGTACAGCTTCTTAAAGTTAGAAATTACCTGTTGATCCATGGGCTGGATGAGAGGTGTTGTGTTGGGTGGCAAGAAGTGCACAGTAATGAAGTTGAACTCCTCTGGCAATTCAACCATCAAATTAGGAGGGTGGGCTGGTGCATTGTCCATCACCAACAAAGCTTTCAGTGGAAGATTATTCTTCCTGAGGTATTCCCAAACACTGGGTCCAAACACCTCAATCACCCACTCAGAGAATAAATTCCTGGTCACCCAAGCCTTTGGGTTTGACCGCCACATAACACCAAGGCGGGTCTTCCTAATGTTTTTGAAAGCTCTGGGGTTTTCTGCATGGTACACAAGGAGTGGCTTTATTTTGCAGTCACCAGAAGCATTAGCACAAAGAAGGAGGGTAAGCCTGTCTTTCATTGGCTTACGGCCAGGGACAGAAGTTTCCTCCTTGGTAATGTATGTACGGTGAGGCATTTTTTTCCCAAAAAGTCCAGTTTCATCACAGTTGAATACCTGCTGAGAAACAAAGCCTCCCTCTTTAATAATATTAAAAAAATGTCATGGTGTTCCTTAGCTGCTTCCTTATCTGCACTAGCAGCATCACCATGTCTCACAACACTATGTAATTTATTTCTTCTTCTGAAACCAGTAAACCACCCCTTGGTACCCCTAAACACTGGCACATCACTATCACTTGTACTGGGAGTCTTGGCTTTAAGGTCCTCAAACAATTGTCTGGCCTTCTCACAAATTATAGCTTCACTAATGCTATCACCTGCCATTTCTTTCTCCTTTATCCACACTAAGAGTAAATTTTCCGTCTCCTCAATCACATTACACCTTGCTTTGCTAAGTCTAGAGATTCCCTTAGCCACTTGCACAGTTTTCAACTCCTCTTTATTTTTTAAAATCGTACATTTAGTCGATTTAGCCGTCCCATACTCATCACTAAGTTTCGCAATGCTTGTTCCATCCTCACGTTTCTTTATGATTTCTTTCTTAGTTTCAAGAGTTATGAGCTTTCTCACTCGCTTTGGACTATTCATTGTTACAATTGTACACTTGTATAACAAAATATTTATACAAATAACTTTATTTCCACATCAAACGACAAAATTTCAACAATAACAGTGGTGCACTGGCTACACAATGAGACAAAGATGGCACCTGACGCTCTTGTTGTGGGTCGCGGTACAACAATATTCATGCGCCAGGCGAAATAGTCCCGTATTCATTCGCGTTCGTTATAGCATTCTCAATTTTATAGGTAAAACCGTTCATTATAGGAATATTCGTAGTAGGATCCGTTTGTTATAGCATACCCCACTGTATAGGAAAAATAAAGAAAATCAACAAACTCCTTCTGGTGGTTG